CCGGATGGCAGGCGATTTCTGGGCATGCTCGATAGGCACACCGGAAACAGTAAAAAAAGGCTTCCTTGCCGCAGATGTTAAGTTTCAGGAAACGAAGCCGCTGTCTTAAGGAAACTGCTGAGGGCTGCAGATTTAAGCTAACCTCACGATGCCAGAAAATTGGAATAAAATTTAAATAAAATAGATCCTCCTCCTCCTCTCCAATCAAAGAAAGCACAAGGCTTAATTTGGGGTTGGAACTCGGACCACAACCTGTCCTGGCACGTGCTGAGAGGGATTTTTTTAAAAAAATGCCTCTGGGCATATGCAAAGTACAGCTGCTTCTGCCTTGAGTAAATAAGATCAAGAAGGGGGGGGGAAATGGAGGAGGAGGAGGAAGAGAATACTTTCCCTAAATAAGAGTTTTCATTGATTGAGGCGGCAAACAAAGGGGTGCATCGAGGCTGGGCAGTGGTCCTCCCCCGCAGAACTCCGTCGTAACCATGGCCACCAAGCCCGCTCCTCCTACCGGCCATTGTTAACCCTCTCCCCGCCCTCGTCAGCTCCACTCCGGTCGCTCCCTAGCTGGAAGAAGCGATGGATCCGGGCCGGCTCTTGCTGGAGGCGGCGAACTGGAGCACCATCGCGGCGTGCCTGGTGCTCAAGTTGCCCCAGGGAGCCGCCTTGGTGGCCGCCAGATCCGCCCGAGGAGTCAGCCTGGAAAGTTTATTGCTGGAGCTCGGCGGGTAAGGACGGACTTCTCCGCCAAACTGCCCGGCGGCGGCAGCAGCAGCAACACCAACAACCTCCGCGCTCTTCCTCCCGCCTGCCCGATCTTTGGGAAGGGGAAGGCTTCTTTTCTCGGTGTCCACGGAGGAGTTGAGACCCGCGGAGGGAATTGCGGGTCGGCAATTCTTCCCCGCGAGTCACTTCCCTGCTTGGAGCCTGTGGCTATTTTTTTTGCTGGTCTTCTGAACCTGCCCCGCGGGCAAAGATACACCCATCTCGAGTCAGCTTCGGGTGCGGATGCATAACGTACCCTGGAAGGAAGACGTTGGCAAGCTCTGGCCGTCGTTCTTCGGAGAGGAGAGCCGGGCGGAGGGCCTGGGACACGAGGTGTCTTCTGGGACTCCCCGGGCGCCTCATCTGGCCGTTTTTTTTTTTTTCCGTTTTTGCTTTGGCCGCTTTGCCTGGTTTCGTCTTCCCACAAGCGCTGCTGCTTCCCTTTCTTTCCGGGCGCCACTTCAAGCCACAGCTGCCCTGCCCTTTTCTCTGGCTTGCTTGAGTTTGGCTTCGTCGTTGAACCCGAGTGCGTTGTAGGCCTCTAAAGAGGAGGAGAAACTGGCAAAATAATCCTTCGATTGGATTGTAAAGCCAAAGAAAAGAAATGTGTAGCAACTGCAGGTTGATATCTAGTTCAGCCCTCGGTTGCCTCCCTGAAACGAGGAGGCACTTAGAGAAGCTAAGATTGGACTCAAAATTCAGCCCCAAGCCCCTCCCTAGTTCATAAAATAAATACAATAAAAGGTAATCTCATGACTGCATTTCCCTTATGATGCCAAGTAACTTTCCTATCTCAGATAGTTGAGGTTCCAGGCCAAAGCACTGTGAGTTCCCACATTGAAGTTCTTAGGAAACGAGCGTCTTTCTTTTCTTTAGAAGTGGACTTTGCAACTTTTCCCAATCCGGTGTTGTTCAAGCGTGTCAACCTCTTTCTCTATTTCTCCGGCCTAAGTAAGGTTGCTTTTCAGACTGTTTACCTGGACAGCCACTTCTTTGGAATGGTATAGGGCAGGGGTGTCAAACTGCTGGCCCGCAGGCCAGTTGCATCATGCAATGTGAAAAAAGTCACGATACATCGCAACACATCATGTGAGTTTGACACCCGTGGTATAGGGTCTCCTGCTTGAGCAGAGGGTTGGACTAGAAGACCTCCAAGGTCCCTTCCAACTCTGTTCTTCCGTTATTCTGTAAGACCGTTGCACTTCATGGATAGTTGTAATGAAGCTTCCCCCATGGAAATGAAGAATTACATTTTATTGGGCTAATAGTGATAGTTCTGCAATTCCTAAGTGCCTTTATCAATACCTATCTATAAAGAAGCAAAATGGGTTCTTGAGGCAGACAGTTGTGGCCAGAGAGCCTGTTCCTTTCATTAAAAATGATTTTTTTATTCTGTCTTCTTTGTTCCTTGCAGTTTTATAGCAATATTGTTACATGTTTGTGAGTCAGTGACTCTGGGGGACTGGCATTTAAACCTCTCCAAAATGAAAGAAGGCCAAATCAAGCTACTGCTATGCCACAGGAAGTCAGAGAAGCTTTTACTTTTTTGTATGCCACTTAGTTTGGGGACAGTTGGCTCCTTACATTCTGATTTGAACAAGAAAAATCGTCATTTTTCTGATCTCTTCCTTGCACACTTTACTAACTCAGCCAGTGTCCACCAAATGGTTGGTAAATAAGCTTTATTTCCCTCGTCCTGTGAATGCCAGATACCTTGCATTACATCTCCCATAATTCTCAGCCAGTTTTATTATTGACCTTGCTAGTTGAAAATTCTGTATATCCTGAGGATACTGGGTCAAAAAAGGCTAGCTACTACTTTTCATATGCAGATGACACCTTTGCCTTGTCCTTAGTGTTCTATGACATCCCTATCCTTGGCTTCCATAACTTGGGCATCGATATCTGCAGCAAGGAAACTTACATGCAGGTAGTTCTTTTTTTTTTTTTTTTTAATTTTTTATTTATAATACAATTAAAACAAAAATGGACATACGTGGCATTCCAGGGTAAATATTCCTAACAATTTGTTTCTCATGATACAAAAACTTAATACATCATCCTTAACCTCTATATACACCTCATTCTTCTACATAATACAATTATATATACAATTATATATACAATTATGTGTATGCTTCAATCCTATCGTTAGCTTAAGATCCGAGCAGTTCTCCTTGATTCATACCAGCGATAGAATTTGTCCCAGATTTCGAAATATTCCAGTTCTGTCTTA